ACACACACACACACACAGTCGCACACACCCTAACTCTCTGTCCTTCTCTCTCTCTCTCTTTCTCTCTCTCTCTCTCTCCCTTTCTCTCTCTCTCTCTCTCTCTCTCTCTCTCTCTCTCTCTCTCTCTCTCTGTGTCTTTCTGTCTGTCTAAAAGTTTCACTGAACTGGCAAAGCAAATATGTCATATAAGTACCGAAGATTAGAGATATTTACATTGTAATTTAGCTATTTAGCTATAGTTCAACGGTACTTGCAATACAAATACCAGACACCAACACACCACCTCTTGTTTTCTCCTATAACATAAATGCCTTATACAAGATCCAGACTGTACGATCGAAGAAAAGCAAATTCAGAAAACAGATATGCTGGTTTACCATGAATTTGCCCACGCTTCTATTTTTTAGAATAAAATAAAGCCAATTATCGGAAAAGTTCTTGACTGAAAGGAGAGATTTTGAAACATCTGACAACTGGGCTATTCATTCGCTTGGTTGATGTGATTAAAATAAAATGTCGTTATTTTCAGTTCAAACAAACAAACAATCAAATAAAGAAACAAGCAAACAGGCAAACATTACTGTTATGTTGTTATCTTCTGTACAAATACACAAACAAACAAACACACAGACAAACAAGCAATATTGTTGTGTCTGTAATCTTCTGTATAAACGAATAAATGAACAAGCAAGCAAACAAACAAAATAAATAACATTGCTGTTGTGTTTGAAACTGCTTGCACAAACAAATAAACTGCCAAATAAACTACCAAATATGACGGTCGTGTCTGTAGCTGCAAACGAACGAACAAACAAACAAGTAAATAATCGAACAAACAATATTGTTGTACTGTCTGCACAAGCAAACAAACTAACAAATAGACAACCAAAACGTGACTGCCGTGCCTGCATCTGCGTGTACAAACAAATGAACAAACAAACAAACAAACAAACAAACAAACAGCTATTACTGTCTCGTCTGTATCTGTTACAACAGAATCGTTACAGCAAGCAGTAGCCGCGTCTGTGATCACGTGGTCACGTGGAGTCCCTGTCTGCCTTTAGGTAATGTCCTGATGTATTGCTTCATACTCTCAGGACAGAAGGCTTTCAACCCCCCCCCCCCGAGTATTTTCCTTTTCCTAACAGTATCGTCTCAAGAAGCCTTAGGTTTTCCGAATAAAGTCTTCCAAGGGGTGCGCATTCCAAAAGAGAGTTATATTTAATTAAACGGTGGCGTTAAATATACGCTCTACAAAACAAACAGAGAAATAGGAAGCCAAAAACACATGAGACAATTCTCAAGACTCAAGGGAAATAAATATTACGTCCAATTGGAACTATTGTTATGGGGGGGGGAGAGAGAGATCCAATTTTCGAAAAAAAGCAAATTAGTCTGCTCTTTGAAAACTTTTAATAATTAACTTCAACATTATTTTTTAAAAAACATGATGTACTCTAGTCGGCTGGCAGCCCGGTCTGCTGCAGTTTGAACAGTCAACAAATTGTAAGTTGAATACTCCGCTAGCTCAGTTGGTAGCATGCACGACTACGGAGGCAGATGGTCCAGGTTCAAATCCCAGACTTGGCGTTCTTGAAATAGGGTCATTTTGTGGAATTATCAAGGCTCTCAACTCATTTGACTTTCTCTTATCCGAGGCGGATGTTAAATTAGGAAGCCCTGCCTCTTGATAATGATAATGATAGATAATAATAAATAGCATTTATGCAGTGCATTTCCATTTTCTAAAATATATGCTCGATGCACATGACATACATAAAAACATCATATTTTAAAAATT